GGGCTCTTCCTCAGGCTTCTTTTTTTGTTCCAAACAAGCTGGCAGTTAACATTCAAAAATAGATTGAATGGTATTAGATTTGGGAATTTGCCAGCTTGTTTGGAACAAAAAAAGAAGCCTGAGGAAGAGCCCAGGAGGAGCTACAAAAACGTTTGTAAATATCGATCATATGCACTCCAGTTATTGTGTTAATGTGATTCGCTTATTTTTTATATATTCATCCCGGTGTGTTGTACAGTTAAATAGAGATTGACTTTCAATTGTGTACATATGGTTATGTCAGGTCTACAAAAGTTAGGACAACTTGGGAAGGTGGTCAACTGGATGTTACACTCTATGGAGGTTCACACGTTTTATTTGTATGACAGGAAAAAAATTGAAGATTCTTTTCTAACATTTTGATTTTTTCACCTAGCTGTATAATAAGGCCTAACTACATCTAGTACAGTGGGTGATTGGTTAACGAACAAATTGGATAACAAACACTTTCGCGAAAGATTTTGATGATCGGACAACGAACACTTTTGCAAAAGATTTTTATGATCGGGTAACGAACACTTCATTGAACAAACATAAAAAGAAGCGACGAAAATAGCAAATACCAATTGATTTTCCTTTGTCTTCAGGTAACTTTTTGGAGCGCAGGAGACATCAACATCGACACTCAACCCGATATATACTGATTAGATAGTATTCCTCGAACTTTGAAATACTCCCTTGTAATTTCAGTCTTTTATTTTTATGACAAACAATTCTTTTATAGTATTTGTGAGACTGTCAGGCGGGCAAAACTTAATGAGTGCTCATAAATATGAAAACTCATAAATGACTTTTCATATTTATGAGCACTATGAACACTAAAATGAACAATAACTATGAGCACTAAATGAACACTAAAATGAGTGCTCATTAATGAAAACTCATAAATATTTTCGAAAGGTGAGAGTATAATAGCAAAGATAGAGAGTGGGCAGAAGATGTCTGATGTTGCTGGGCAGTATGGCTTGAACAAATGTACAGTAGGTCGCAGTTCAATCTTATGTAAGAAAGATACAGTATAATTAAGAAAACTCAAGCAGCTAAAGGAGTAACAAATATCACATCTGAGAAATAAAGAACATTGAAGAGCTCATAATGATTTCAAGAGTTCTTGGCGTTCTTCTGTCAGATCTGATGACAGAAGAATGCCAAGAACTCTTGAATGAAGAACACCAAGAAACTTGGTGAGATAAGTTTTATTATGAAAAAGAGGAGTAATGCTGATATCTGCTATTAATTAAAGATCTTTTGAAGAAGTGGGAGATGTCAGATCAACGGTCTTAGAATGGCATCCAAACCAGGTTGAGGTTAATAGGCTTGGGGATCTCTACAATTACAATGCTATTAATTATTTCTGAAAAATTCTGAAGAAGAGAGAAAAGCAATCAACATTAGACAGATTCTTTAACCCCCACAAACAAAAAAACATGACTAATAAAAATGCAAGTCTGTGTATATGTATTTTTATTATTACATATACACAGACTTTATTACATATACAGTGGTGCCTCGTATAACATACTTAATCCGTTTTAAGTTCACGTCCGTTAAATGAAAAGTCCATTATACGAAACGCATTTTCCCATAGAAATACATGTTAAAACATATAATTCGTTCTGCAGCACAAAATAACCGTACTGTACCATAAAAAAAAAAAAAAATGAAAATGGAGCAGTCACCAATTATGCCGGGTAGTCAGATGTTGTGAGGAGGAGGTGGAGGATCACTTTATTCACACATTTATACAGATACAGACTTTTCACACGTTGCAGCAGGTCTCTTTTTATTGTTTTTTAATCGGAGTCAGATTCAGGAGAGGCTACTGGGGCTTGCAGGGTCAACTCCTCTTGTTCCATCCTTTGTCTTTTGGCAGCTGGCTTCTTGAAAAACATGTCCAAGGTGGTCTGTTTCTCTTTCTTCTTCAACACCTGTCGGAAATGACGGGCAAGGATGTCAATGTAGAGATCATTGATCCTGTTGGCCTCAACTATGTTTGGATAATGAATGTTGGTAAACTCCTGAACCTGTCCCCATTTGACAAGGAAATTTCTGTCAACTTTCATTCCTTCTAATGATTTCTTGCTTTGTTTCAATTGAAAATCACCTTTCTGTTTTTTTAGAAGCCATGATTTGCACAACACTTGAATAAATGTAAATACCCTGCACTGAGGTGATGTATGTAATAAACAAGGGAGTAAGCCGAATCACAACGGGAGCTCTGTACTTCAGATATACTAATAATATATTCTAATAATATTAATATATTATAAAACTAGCAGATTGACATTGGCAACAGCAAAAGAATGGAAACATCATTCGCACTTGTTCGCAGAAAGTCCATTGTTCGCCTAACGTAACTGCCAAACGGAAAGTCCGTTGTTCGCAGCCAGTTCGTTGCTCGAGTCACGTAATGGCCAAACAGAAAGTCCGTTGTTTGCAACGTCCATTATTTGAGGCGTACGTTATACGAGGCACCACTGTACACAGACAGTAGTAAGAAAGTATATATTTTTTATTTTTTTGGGGTCTCCAGAACAAATTAATCAAATTCCCATACAAACCTATGGTAAATCGATAATTGGTTAATGAACAATTCGGATAGCGAACAAAGTCTTGGAACGGATTATGTTCATTAAACGATCACCCACTGTATTAGATTGCAAGATTTTTCAATGTAATCTTACTTATTATTCTATTCTTACTTTTTTCTTTTCTGGTCTGTCTACAAATGAAAAATAGAATTGAGAATCCTAAAGGCATGAATCCATGCTTTGTAAGCTGTACAGCAGTGTTTTTCAACCTTTTTCATTGAGTGGACCCCTGATTGAAAAATAAAAAATCGTGACACCCTTGACCAGCGGCGGATCTGAATAAGGGGGCTAATGGGNATAAAATCTTGCAACTCAGTTTTTCATCCCTTCCCAATTAAATGCTAAAACAAGAAGAATTTAGATAATTCAGTGTGAAGTGCTTGTAGGTAGCCATAAAAGTTGATAGAAAGTGTGAGTAAGAATATATCTAAACATGAACATTCAATACTTTTATTTTTGGTTGCATAATACCAAGAATACTACGAAAACTGAAGAAAATTTATTTTTTATTTTTTAGTGCATTTATGGCTTTTCAAAGTGCAATGCAATGCTTTTTAAAGTGTATACAAGACACAAGTGTCCATGTCGTTCTTCTCTGCTGGTTGGCCCGGTACTGGGACTGGGAATGTGAAGGCCAAGTAATGTGGTTTGGGCGAACTTGTGTACACGTAGTGTTGAACGTTACATTAACATGCGATTAGTCATCGTTTCTTTGCTTACTAGATATCTCGTAGCAAAGTAGAACTGACAATGAGTTATCTTGAACTACACTTAAGTAAATTTCCAAGAAAATGACTAAAGGCCCTAAACATTGCGACACCCCAATCGTGGCGCCGTGGCACCCCGGTTGAAAAACACTGCTGTACAGGATAGTGACTATTACTTTTTACCTTCAGTTCTCTGTGGCAAATGACTAGAACTAATTCATCCTTGCTTGTTAGGTTGGTTTTTCATAACAGTGAATATATTATCTACAAGCTAAGCTTGGATGCAAGTTTTGAATATTGAGTTCTGCATTATTATGACTTGTAGATTTTTTGCACTCTTCTTGTTCAGATCAAAATAAAATCAGTAGTAGTGAAATTAGTGGTTTTTATTTGAACTTTTAATAGTAATTTGAGAATTTAAGACTTAGAATAATTTGAACTTTTCCCAATTTTTAAATTTTTTTATTTCATAAAAGCCAGTTAAAGAGCAAATCTGTATTTTTCTTCATAAATTCAGCTCTTTCTAGAAACTTCTAAAGTGCTGATTTCTAAGTTCCTTATCTTCATTCTGCAAATTGTGAAACTTTAATAGTACAGTTTGTCTTAAAATTTATTAGACACACTGCTTAACTTCAGACATTTTAATTCAGTACAGAACTTTTTTTTTTTGTAGTGTTAACTTTGTTCTATTAAATTAATAGCATTTCAAATAGCACCACTTATTACTATCATACTTAATAAACTGTCCTCTAAAGATATCTTTTCTATTGACTTTGTACAAATAAAAACTTCTAGAAAACTTTTGTAAAGTCAGTTAAATTAATACTAGAATTGATAGACTAGCAATGCTATCTTGTAATACTTCAACTCTTGATATCTTGCATATATCAAAATATACATGTGCTATTACATATAACTATAAACATCAAATAACATATTTAAACTATGCTCTTCATCTCACTTCGTTTATGATAATTACAGAAAACTAATACATGACAAAATACTCCTTTGTAAATTAATAAACTAGATATTTACTTTTTTATTAGTATTTTATTCTAATTACATACTAACTTCTAACCTACTTTCAGGCTTCTAACCTACTAAAGTACTTTCAGGCTGACAATTTCAATGGTTAAAAACCATCAAATCAGATATGTTTGTTCTGAATTTTTTACATTTTGTGAAACATATTTTGAATCTCTGATGATGGACTTATCAGCTTGAAAGTACTTAGGTTAGAAGTTGGTATGTAATTAGGATACACCTAGAAAGCAGTAAAGATCTAATTCAATACATGACATTATTATTTGTTTAATAATAGAATGTAACATAGCTGTTTAAAATTTGTTCATTTTTAAACTCACTAATCAAATCACTTTATTAAAACATAGAAATAACTAAATAATTTAAAGCAATTATTAATTTTTATTTGCTTTTTCCTTGTTATGAATAATATCAAACAAATAAAAATTACTGCAAAAATATATAATTAAGTTGTTATCTGATTTATAATCATATTAAATAATCTAATATATTTTTCAAAGAAAAACAATATCTCAGGAAAGAACTACTAATAAAAATATTTTTCTTATACTATCAAATTTTGTATGTATTTTTTAAAATTTTGTAATTAAATACTTTCATTACTTCTATTTAAACTTAGGCTTATCCAGTTCTTCTTGGTGATATAGATCCAAATGGTAATTTAAATGCCAATATCATTCATCAGATAAATAGAAATGTTCGTACAAAGTTTGCAGCCCAGGTAAGTAATATTAATTTTAAATAGTAATTTTAAAATTTTATTTTGACTAACTTAATTTGTAAAAACAAATGAATCTTTAAATAAAATGTTTCGTATTAATAAATCAGAATTAGTTGAAAAATAAATTACACCGATATAAATCCAGCAAAATTTAATAAAATAAAAATGTTTTCAATCGTTTTTCAACGATCATCCTCAGTTACGAAAAATAGAACAGTAAATATAGAACCAGGGCTGTGGAGTCGCATAAAAATCTTTCGACTCCGACTCCGTTTCATATACATAACAAGTTGGTAAGTAAAAAGAGAGTCGGAGTCGGCGGATTTTTTGACAACTCTGACTCCGGCCAAAACACCAAAACTCCACGACTCCGACTCCACAGCCCTGTATAGAACATAAAATGCGTTCGAAATAAATAAATAATTAACGGAAACGCCCTAGCGGACGAACTAATGAAAAATTAACAAATAAACTAAATAAATAGTGAAAAATTAACAAATAAACAAAATAAATAGTGAAAAATTAATAATTGTAAAAGGACTTCCACGCAGTGGACAATGAGTCGGCGTCTCTATGGTTTATACAACCGGTTTTCATGTGTGCTTTATAGATTTCCAACCTCTCCAGATGTTTGATCGTTTGCCTATTAGTCGTCATTTTTATAATTGATGCTTGATCCCATTGCATGTCTATATCCTGTTGCGTTGCGTACGATGCCAAGACAGTGTTATCAATGTTCCTATCGATTGTGTATTTATGTTCCTTGAGCCTTTGCTTTAGACCACGCATCGTCACACCCATGTAAACTAGCCTGGAATCAAATCGTTGATCATGTAAAGGTACTGAATATATACCCGTTGTTGAATTCCAATCCTCTTTCTTTTTATCGTTTCTCAAAAGTTTGAAAATAGTGGGGTTGCGCCGGTATACAATGTGTATATTATTAGACTTGGCAGTAGATCTGTGTATCTTGTTCAAAAATGGGATGTAATTAAGTACTATTCGTTTATTATGGTCAATCTTGGGAGAACGCCGTTCAGTGGATTAGAAGGATGAAATAAGATTCTCTATTTCTTCCTTTGGATATCTGTTTAGTTGGGATAATACTCCCAAGATTGACCATAATAAACGAATAGTACTTAATTTAGCAATTAGCAAAAAATTAAAAGTTGTAAAAATCTGATAATAGATGGTACTACACATAGGACAAACCCTTGCCATTTTTTAGTCATACTGTCTACATAAAATATTGTAACTCAATTTTTCATTCACTTTCCAATTAAATGCTAAAACAAGAAGAATTTAGCTAACTTAGCAGTACATATATAAAACTAAAAAGTAAAAAAAAATAAATTTTCTTTGGCTTTTATTTTTGGTTGCATAATACCAAGAATACTACGAAAACTGAAGAAAATTTATTTTTTATTTTTTAGTGCATTTATGTGAATAAAAACATTTTTTAAAACTGGTTTTCTGTAAATCTTGGTTGCTTGTTGTTCTCTATTATATGTATTTTCTTAGCACAATGTTGCTGTTGAGAACATATCACACAGGAGCACTTTCAGAGGAAAAAGATTGTTTTATTGGTGTGGACGGATATGCATTTCAGGCTTAATGCCCCTCTTCAGTCCTATTATTACATATTTATCAGTAAATTGATTACAGGTTTACAAATTTACAGAATGCATTGAAAAAAATGTTTTTCTGTACTTTATTTATAATGAGCAATATTTTAGACCCATGTTTCTGAAAATACTGTGTCAAAGTTTTATTATATGACTAAGAACAAGTAATGTACTGTACAAGGGTATTTGCAAGACACACAGAGCCCATAATGGTCACAAGCTGTCCTACATAGATGAGATTTATTTTAACACCAAAGACAGTTAAGTCCCACCTTCACTTTGAGTAAATACATCAAGAAGCAACTGAATTTTTAGTATGATAAATTTTGTGACTGCCGTTATGAAGACACAAATCTGTGAATACCAGATTTTATAAACATGGAGACTTGACTATACTTGCCTACTTTGTTTGGATGGTGATTTTAATTTAGTCTAAACCATTTATTATTTTTAGAGTTTGAAATTATTACATTAAATTATTAAATTTAAAAACAAGAGATACAATTTGTTTGTCTTATAATATCAAATTCTTGTAATCATTGATGTATTTATTACTTATAAACTTATAGTGGGTGATTGGTTAACAGTTTGGACAGCGGACACTTTTGCAAAAGATTTTTATCTTTGGACAACGAAAACTTCACAGAACAAACACAAAAAAAAAGCATCATAAAATAACAAATACCGATTGGTTTTTCCCTTGTCTCCAGGTAACAATTTGAAACCTTTCAGAGAGTGGGAGACATCGACATCAATACTCAACCTGATACCAATTGGATAGTATTCCTCCAAACTTTGAAACTCTCCATTGTAATTCCAGCTTTTTGTTTACCTTTCTGACGAATAATTTTTTATAGTCTTTGCGAGACTGTCAGACACTCCTTAAGTTTTGCACTGGTTTTTATTTCTAAAGGTGAGAGTTTAACTGTCCTATTGGATATTTGTTAATGTTTTAACACCGAAATTTCAAATTTCATTTAGGCTTCACATTTACATAATTCTTTCGTGCACTAGTTGATTTCTGTTCTCTGAATTTTTGTGTGTGATTTTCTGAACTTTTTATTTCAAAAACAAATTGATAATATTATGGAGCCTAAAAACAGTGGAGTATCAAGAATCATGTTCACTATAGAAACCAAGCAAGAGATAGTAGCCAAGATAGAGAGTGGTCAGATGTCTGATGTTGCTAGGCAGTATGGCTTGAACAGGTCTACAGTAGGCAAAATCTTAACTAAGAAAGATATAATAAAGAAGATTCAAGCAGCTAAAGGAGTAACAAAAATCACATCTAAGAAACAAAGATGAAAAAATGGAGAGATTGCTTTTAATTTTGTTAAAAGAAAGGGAAATGAAAAGAGATGTAACTAGTATGACTATCATTCAGGAGAAAGCTTGAAGAAACAAACTCCACATTCATCATGAGGAGATAGAATTCAAGGCTACCACTGGATGGTTTGCAAAGTTTATAATGAGATCAGGCATTAAACATGTGGTAATTCACGATGAGTCTGCTAGTGCAGATAAAGAAGAAGCTGAGAAGTTCTGTCTCAAATTTGAAGAATTCAATAAAAATGAAGGATATTGTCCACAACAAAGTTTCAGTTGTGATGAAACTGGTTTATTTTGGAAGTGCATGCCGAACCATACCTACACTACGAAAGATGAAAAAAATATTCCTGGGCATAAACCTATGAAAAACCGATTGACATTACTTTTGGGAGCTAATGCTAGTGGTGATATAATGCTTATCCCACTTGTCTATCACTCTGAGAACCCTAGAGCATTAAAAATTCCATAATTAAAAAAAGACTGACCATGATGATGTGGAGATCAAATAAAAGGGCAAGGGTCAAACAGGCTCTTTTCAAAGAATGGCTGTTTGAAGTTGGTGCTCCAAGCATCACGAATTATTTTCAGACCAATGAATTGCCATTGAAAGCATTGTTGCTATTGGACAATGCACCAGGACACCCAAAGACCTTGAAAATAATTTGCTGAGAGACTTTTCCTGGCTGACAGTTCAATTTCTGCCTCCGAATACCACTTCGTTCATTCAACCAATGGATCAAGAGGTTAATGCAGGTTTCAAGAAATTGTACATTCAAGCACTGTTTCATTGGTGTTTTGAAGCATGTCAGTTCTCCTCAATGATGACATTTAAAACAATTTGGAAAGAAAAATTTGATATTCTTGAAGCTATATAGCTCATTCAAAAGGCATGATCTGAAGTCACTCAATGACAGTTGAATTCTGCTTGGCAAAAGCTGTGTCTCTCCTGCATTCAGGGAGACGGAGATGATATCCCTGAAATTATGGATGAAATTGTGATAACTAATAGAGATCTGGAATTGGAGTGAATGAAGATGACATTGAAGAGCTCATAATGGAAACTGATCTGATGACAGAACTCTGAGAACTCTTGAATGAAGAACACCAAGAAACTCAGCAAGATGTGTTTTCTTCTGAAAAAGACGAAGATGAAAGAGGATCAATGCTGACATCTGCTATTAAAAGATCTTTTGAAGAAGTGGAAGGATGTCAGAACAACAATCTTAGAATGGCATTCGACCCAGGTTGAGGTTTGGATGCCATTAGGCTTGGGGATCTCTACGATGACAATGCTATTAATTACTTCCAAAAAATCCTGAAGAAGAGAGAAAAGCAATTGATATTGAACAGATTTTTTAATGTCCCACAAACAGAAAAACAGCATGACTGATAAAAATGCAAAACTGTATATATGTATTTTTATTATTTATGTACATATAAATAAACATAGTAAGAAAGTATATAATTTTTTTATTTATTTTTTGGGATTTCCAGAACAAATTAATCAAAGTCTCATAAAAATCTATGGTAAATCAATAATCGGTTAACAAACAATTCAGGTAGCAAACACAGCCTTGGAATGGATTATGTTCATTAACCAGTCACCCACTATTTTTAACCAAAAGTAAGGTGCAATCTGAACAGTTTTATATATACTTGGAATATCAAGTCATGTTTTGGTAATTTATATGAACTACAGTCAACTTGCATTAATACGAATCACTAGGGGAACAGCAGTTAGTTTACTATCAAAAATTTGTATTAATGATTTTCAGGTCAAGGTCAAGGTTGTATAATTTAGAGAGTTAAGGCTTAATAAACAGTTGAAATCTCTAAATTATAATATCTTGAATTAATTTACTAAATAAAGTTAAATAAAATTAAATTTTTTACAAAAATAAATTAATATTCTAAACAATTTTCAAATCAAATAATGAAGAGGAAACAGTATTCACCCTTGAAGTATGGAGCAGTATATCAGAATAGTTAAACAAAATAAAGCTATAAGAAATTCATAATTTTTTTCTGTTGAAGACTGTTCAAAAAAGTAGAAAATATTTTTTGGTGCCAAAAGATTGTAAAAAAAGCCAAATTTGGCATCACTAGCAAAAGTGCTAAATCTGGCATCACTATATGCACTCCCCATAAACTATCATAAACTAGCACATGCATGGGACTGCATCTGTTTAAAGGGGTGGACATCCTTAAACTTTCACCCTCTATTTTTTAAGTATAGTAGAATGGTGTGCTAAAACCAGATGTTCGAATTGCTCTACAATTCTAGGTTGAACCTGTCTTTGCTTATTAGAAGAAAATCCATTATTCTATTCAAAATAGAACATTGTTTTTACAGTACCACTTTTGTTTACATCAAAAAGTGTAAAAAGTAATCATTATTAAAAACAGGGTTATTTCTTTGGGGTTTGAAGGTATAATTAACAGATTGGTTGGTTTAACAAATTCTGGTAAAATTTTTGTTCACTTTAATGCTTGAAAATTAACATTGTGACAATGGTGTTTTTGCCAGGCAATGGCAAAATTCACTTTATCTGTGTTCATTTTAAGGCAAATCAACTGTATCATCCTTAAACACATTTTATTTAAATCATTTTAAAGAATTTAAGAAATTCTTTAAAATGATATAAAAGTTATCTAGATATCTTACATATGAATTATTTCATAAATTGCAGATTCAAGATTCCAAATATGTTGTATCCCAACTAACAACGGATTATAAAGGATCTGATTTTACTACATCTGCAACATTGGGAAATATAGACATCCAAAATAAATCAGGTGTTATAGTTCTTCATTATCTTCAAGCTATTACAAAAGCTGTATCTCTTGGAGCAGAAATGGTATATCAGTATGGTCCTCAAGTACCTGGAAATGAAATTTCTCTTCTTTCTTTAGCTGGAAGATATACAGGTGATTTTTTTTCTTTATTAATATATGCACAACAGCAGCAACCTTGATTGATTGAATGCCTGGTGCAAAGCATCAGCATGTTGTAGACCAGGCCTGGCAATCAAATCAATTTGTAGGTTGCTCTCACAATTTACAGCTCATTTGCTACAGGTTGAAGTTGACAAGTGGGAAAAGCAAAGAATTTTGTCATAATTTATTTTATTTTTAAAAACTATAATAAAATGTAATTCTAAATACATTTAATAGATTAAAATACAACAGATTCACAAATAATTATTAAAAACTTTAAAAAAATTCCTTATTCCAAATATAAAATATGATATCACTTTATATTTGGTATAAACTTATATGATTACTGATTATAACAATGAATACAATAAATAAAGATAAAAATATAGCTAAATTACAAAAAAAGTTTTTTACAGTTAAATATACATACAAAAACATTTTTTTCCTCATACTGTCTATGTCTTACATAAAATTTTTTCATATAATGCTGGTCAACAAAATTTTTTTTTTTTTTTTATGTTAAATTGCTATGATAGGATGCTTCCTATAATATTTTTGGTACTGAAGTTTTCCTATTTATGAACAATTTGACTGTTTGTCTAAAATTTAAATTTTTCACAGATTCTGAAATTCTCTTGCTGCTCTTGGGTGGCATTGAAATCAGTCTTTGGCCAGTAATAAATAATTAATTTGGACTTATTTCTATTGCACATCATAAATGTCTATTTAATAATAAAATTACATTTTCTTTACAAAATTATATTTTTTATAAATTTTTTTAAACAGCTTACAACATGCACATTTATTATATTAAGTTTTAAAACATGATTACCATGTGTTTAAATCTAAATGGTGATGTACCTATTTAATCATGTAAAACAAGCATTGTATGTCTGGATATTTAATTGAACATACAAAAGTAAGAATTGTTGGCTATCTCCTACTGTAGGCTATATATCTAGCCTCACATCATCTTGGTAGACCTAGTCCACAATGAAAGCAGATATTAAAGTGTGTCAAGAGAATGATGCCCTGATCATACCACAATGAATAGGTTTGATAATATATATATAGCATATGGAATGTTGTATTTATTAAGTATGCAGTTTGTGATAAATATAAATTGTACATGTTCATACCGTAATTGTTTGTAATAAATTGAATTCAGTCGTGAAAATTTTTCATGTTCTGTTTAATATTTCAGCCAATTATTATCATGAAAAGTTGCAAGGCCCAAAGTGATTATAAGTGGATTCCATTGAATTTAATTCAAATTTTAGACTCTTGCAATTGTTAAGGGTTTTATTTTTTTTTATGTTAAGGTGTCATTTTCAAATAAAATTCTAAATAAGCAACTTAATAAATTAAAATAATCAGCTTTATTCTTAATAAATTCAATGAAAACATTTACTTTGGTATTTTGGACATAATTTTAATTGCATCTTCAGAAGAATTTATTTAAAAAAAATAAAATCTTCTGAAGATGAAAGATATATATATGTAAAATAAACTTCAGTTGAAGTTAATGTTATATTATTTTACTTATAATTTGTTTTTTAAAAATTTAATTTAAAAAAATTTTAAAAGTCTTACTGGACAAAATTACAGTAATTTTGTGTGGATAATCCATGGATTCAGTGTTTAAAAAGCAATTTGAAAACAGAAGAGTTATGTGATAGAACAGTTTATATGCCAACTTTTAATTGCAATTACAAACTCATCAAGCATTTTTCCTTTGTATGACACAAATATATTCATCTGCCATTGCGATTTTTTCCAAAACTATCAAAAACATACATACCTTGCTTTTAGTTATCTGCTATTCATTTTCTTAACATTTAATTCACATTATAATTGGTATAATTAGACATTCTAACTTGAATTTTTATCTTGAAATCTCAAATTTTCAGTAATTAGCCCCTATTTACAAAATGGCATCATTTTAGAGAGATTTGACAATTAAGATACAGTTGACCTCCTTAAAACATTGTTTATTATTCCGTTTTATATGAATTCCATGTTGTACGAGTCACTTAAATTTTACAAGCCGTTCACAGCCCAGCACACGTATTTGTAAAATCTAAGTGACTCGTACAACATGGAATTCATATAAAACGGAATAATAAACAGTGTTATAAGGGGATCGACTGTACCTGATGCAGTAATTGTCATCTTCACCTGACAAAATGGGATCATCACAACTGAAATATGTAGAAAATCCAATTACAAGCCAATTTTCATATCTGACTGATTACACGACCTACATCAATTCAAAATGGAGGCATTCAGATCTTTAGTCAAGAAGGCATTCATGCATTGCTCAGATATTTTGAATCTACAGTATGAGCTGAATTACATCTTAGCAGCAGTCAAAAAGCATAGATATCACACTAAGATAATAGAGAAAAATAATTAACAAGTACCAGAATAATAATCAGAAAGAAAAGATCATAAATGATAAGGAAGAGATTAAGATGGTAGGATATAACTGGAAACTAGACGTGTGTGTGTGTGTGTGTACAGTGGAATCTTGTTTAACAACACTCGTTAAGCAAAACAGTTTTTTCCATATAAATTAGTGTAAAATACAATAATGTGTTCCATGCCAAAAAAAAAAATACTCAAATATTTTATGTATAACATTTATTCAAAGAAAATTATACAATATATANAGGCAGTTTTGCTGCCATCTCGTATTAAATTTAATAATTATAAATTAATTTAAAATTAAATTTGGAATTGGTCATTAAATTTAATACAAGATGGCAGCATAACTGCCTACTTCTAGTCAAATTAATTAATTTCTAATATTTGATTATAGCCTTTACATAGCTCAAGAATTGGCATATCGTTTGGCATGTTTATTATATAACAGTTGTTGATGTTCATATGTAATATGTGTGAACACAAGTTTGGAAAAATATTTGATTACAAGTGACATTAAGATGCTGGTGGAACAAGTGATAAGATAGACAAAATAAGTATACAGTAGAGCATCGATTATCCGACCTCCGATTAACCGTCACATCGGTTAACCGACCGTTCTAGTCGCAAATTTCAAATGTCCGCTAGTGATGTGGCACTACAATATTTAGCTATGTCTTGGCTACTTTAATATTATTTTTGTTAAATTTTTGCGTGTTTTAGCCTGCAACACCAGCTCAACCATTGAAGGGAGGCCAGTATTTAAACGAGACTTAATTTTCTAATTATGAGTGGTTGTTTGTTTTGTGAGCAATAAAATAATTTTAAAATAATTTTTAATGATACAATAGTGACGATTATTATTTTAAAAACAAATTGTTAGGTTTAACATCGATGAAAATTCAATGCAAAGTTGGTTAATAGCAATATACTAATATACTAATTACATGGGATATACTAATATACTATACTAATAATGTATTTTTTTCATTCTTTTCGGTTATCCGACCAACCTGAGTCTCCAATTGAGTTGGATAATCGATGCTCTACTGTACTTGGAATATATAATGTACAGTACCTATTTGTTAATTCTAAAACTGTAACTATCTTCTAAATACTAAAATTCACACCTTTCTCTCCCTTTCCAGCATTTACTGATTTAAAATGAATGTTTTCTGTTGCTTTCACTGGCCTGTGTCAGGTTACGGAGATTCTATATTGAACATCTATAGCAGGTTCAAAGTTTGGAGTAAAGTTGTTTTTCATTGATGTAATTGTCTTTGAATTAAAATATACTGTATTTACAAAAATATTAATATAGTTTTAACAAATTAAACAAATAATTACAAAAAAAAATATTAAAATGACTGAAATAAATAATATAATTGAAAAACTAAAAAATTAAATTATTTGGCAAGATGTAAATTGCTATTATTATGTGTATTATTGGTTGCCGCTATTTTTTAAGGGCTTAACTAATATAGATTGCCATGCTTTGGATATGTGTGTAGATTTTTTACTATTAATGCAGCTTCCTTTATGTGTTGCAGCAAATATTTCAAACACCTCTATGGTTCTTAGTTTATGGTTATTGAATGTGCATTTTAAAAGCTTTGCTTCTGCCCATCATGGAGACATCCCTTGCTCACTTGTATATTGTGCTAGAGCTGTACTGTATTTGTTTTTACTAATATCATATTGGTACTTTTGTAAAGTACTATATTATTTTTCCGACTTTTCCAACGATTATCGACACTACTGTGTGCCGGAAATAGCCGTTCCCTAACGGGTACTTTACGCGGATTCGTGTTAGTGTGCCAGGCCTGGACTTTAAGCGTGCACCGAATTAAATAATGACAAAGTTTGTCAAAAAAATCAAATATTTAATTAAACTTCTAGTAATAAACTATATACAGTATTTAGTAAAAATCAAACAATAATTTATTCAATGAAATTCAACAAGAATCAACCCGACAAAACTCAAATCAATCTATTTCTAACTTAATTCTATTCCCCTTTGGAATTCGACAAAATCAAAGAATTAACTTATAAACAATAATTCTTATAAATTAAAGATCCTAATCGTCACCTCAATATACTAGGAACCTATTTCCTCAAACTCTCAAGACTTTCTATAATCGTCGATCCACAAATCGAATAACTTCAAAATCGCCTTGGAACTATTTGATCCTATCGGACACCTCTCTCGTTCACTGCTACGAAGCTCACCAAAGCTCGTTGCTATCAGGAGTTCACCTCAGGCATCTTCACTTGACGTTCTGTTTTTATACTGTGAGGTGACGTCACAATTCTGAATGAGATCACTCCCCTCATTTACATACTTATTCGCTAACAATAAATCTTTTTCTATTTGTCTGGCAGCCTATTTTCCGACAATACTCGCTAACCTTTTACATTATTCTTTTTCACAATTTTTCGGGATGTTTTTATTCTTTAAGGTTTAGCAAGTCCCTAATTTGTGCTTGTGGGGTCTCCCCCCCTTTTCTCGTTGCGGACTTACTTTTTTCCGCTCGGGAAGCGCAAGTGTGTGCGAGTTTTTCTACGGCGCTTTTCTTTCGTCGGTGAGTTGGTTTTTCTTCTATTTTTAAGTTCCTAAGGTGAATGGTGAGGAAACCTTCGTCCTAACAAAACATAAGCCCCAAACAAAAATAGAATAATAAACAAAATAAAAGTAAATAAAAATAACGCTCGGACTTTGGTTCCTTACACCTTTTGAGTCTGTGTTAAGGATCTGTTTGTTGAGCCTATATATGTTAGATTTTTATTGAATCTGTTGTCATACAGTGGTATGGAATATATACCCAGGAGTTTTGCTATCTTCAATCTTATTCTTACTGTTATTGAGTAGTTTTTATACAGTTGGGTTGCATTTATAGGCTAAACTGATATTTAATTGTTTTGTTATGATCCTGTAAGTTGTACTCAGTCTGGGATCATAGTCAAGTATTATGCGTTTACGATTTTGAATTTTTATTTGTTGCTGCACTGCTATGTTCCTAGTCAATATCTTTTTAAGGTTCTCTTCTATGGTATAAAAAGAATGTATAAAACATATAGCAATAGAGCATGATTACAGTGGTAAACTAATACCTACATTAGCACATATCATACAGCTTTAGCGACATATATAATTGAGCATAATGTGCAAATGGATTTGGACAAGGCTAGAATTATCATAAAAACATTAGACAGTCTCAAATATAGGGTCCCAACAGCAAGTCATGAAATTGACATTAGCAACCTTAATAATTGATGCATCATTCCCTTTAATTATCATTTTTATGTTGAGGTTATGTTAATCTGATGCTTTAGTGTGCTGCTTTGAATTGTAGATGATTAAAAGCTATACCCAAAATAACATATTTTGGATATAGCTAATAAACACCGTATTAAACAAACATTAGAATGAATTGAAATACCAGATTAAAATGCAATACACAATATGAACTGCATGTTGATTTTTAAAAAATTTTTGCATGTTTTTGTTCTGAAATCATTAGAGCATTCAACATAGTTCTATTTATCTGAAGAAGCTTTTTAAATAAGGTTGTACACTGTAAAATAAACTTATTTGTATTATATAACTTATTGTAACTTTACAACTCAAATTAATTGTGGTAATTTTATTATTATATTTCTGTTTCAGGGTTGAAAATATTTATATTAGCTAATAATAAATAAAACATATATTTCATTGCTTTAGAATTTTTAATGATTTGGCAAATAATACAAATATAAATTTATTTTTTATCATCATTCAGGTTCTAATTATGTTTGGAGCAGTACAATTAGTGCTAATTCAGCTCATGCATGTTATTATCACAAAGGTTCTGAAAATTTACAGGTATGTAATTATTTCTTTTATTGTTATATCTGTCCTACATGTCTGCTTTTTTATTATTTTAAATGGATGTTAGTTTTAATTCCTAATGCTTATTATGATATATGATCAAGCTTATGAAGTTGTTAGATTCAAAACCTGGATATTGTGGACAACAGCAAAAATGGCAGGAACATCAAATACTCTGTCTACATTAGAATAGAAGTTATACTGTATATATACACACCATATTTTCACAGAATGACCAGCATGTTGCATAAAAATATGGGGGCCGAGGGGGGAGAAATTTCAAAAAACTTAATTAATGATAATATGTGATATATATCGTCATCGTCTCCCTTGCCATCTGGATTGCCTCGGCGGTAACAATCAACAACATGTGGAAGCAGTTGAGTCAGAGATAGATGCCTCATTTACAATAACACAACCTGTTTATTAAACACGAAAGAAGCTTACAAGATTTCCGCAATCTTGGAAGTTCTACGTTGGCTGAGGCCTCTGGGTTTTCCTCTTTCCAAGATAGTCCCATTTTGAAGGAGTGTCCCTTGTTTGCAAATGAACAATTCCATCACGTCTCGACGACTCCAAGACAATGCGGTCGACTTCCGTTGATGGAAAGATGTCCATCGGAGGTTGGGAGATGGAGACGAAGATGTGCGTGAGACACACTCACAGCAATAGATCTGTCACCTGGAACTTTCGGGAGAAGAAGCCGTCACGTCCTTGAATTTCTGGGGTTTTATCTGTTTTCCTCAGATTCCCCTTTCCGATTGGTCTCTCCTTGTTACCTGATACAATTCGAAACCTTTCAGGGGGTGCAGCAGAGGTCAAAATCAACATTTAATTCAATCTCCAACTGGAGATGGTCAACAAACTTACATTCTTCTATTGTTTAAAAGTTAGCGTCGCGTTTTCATAAAAAAATCTATTTCTAACTACTATATTTTTTTCTTAAAAAACATTTTTTTTCTGTGACTTTTAGTGATGGTTTGGACCTGTCCAGAGCCTCAAAAATGGGGGAGTTCAGCATGCCAGTAACTCCAGGGTTACCGGCATGCTGGTCAAACTGCAACTAAAATATAATATTAATTAGATGTAACAAAATTAATTGTTAATTAAATGTTAAAGAAAACATTCTTCTGAGTACAATAAAATAACATTGTAATTTGACTGACTTAAAATCAGTAAGAGAATTTTTATTTACAAAACAATAAAACAATTAATGGCTTTTTGGTATTAGTATTAGTAGTAGTTAGTGCATGCTACATTGACCTTTTACCCTGACCTTAAAAGTAACACCTTCCTCTCAAATTTCACACAAAGCCAATGTGGAATTGGTGTAAGCTGAGATAATTTACAGATAATTTCTTAAATTTAATATGTTTATTTTTGCATTTTTGAATCAAATAACAATAAATTACACATAAAAAAGCACTTTCGGAATTCCAATAGTATTTTACATTGTTAGAAAGAAGACAAAATGAAATTAAAAACACAATCATAGTTTTTGATGTAATGCTGACAGTTTCACGGTTTTAGAATAAAAACATGTTCATTTTTTTTAATGTGCTCTTTAGAGGGGGATGTATAGCTTCACTTAAACCAGCATGCCAGCATTTTTCCAAGATAAATTGGCATGCTGGATTTTACCATACAGAAATATGATTTCATGGTTCGTCAGATAGACCAACATGACAGTCATTCTGTGAAAATACAGTACAACCTGATATTTTTGAAATACAGACCTTAAAATAAGTCACTTGCTTTTTTCTGAGGCAAAGGCGCATTTTGTCTTTTATGGTTATTATTTCTTTTTACATTTAAAGAAACTAAGGTAATTGTACCAGTGTTGGGCATTTTTTAATCGACTAATCAATCATGGCTAACAAGTAATGTTGCCTATATTAGTCATTAGTTTTGGATATTTTGATTGATGATCATATTGAATATATATTGATTGATGATCAATATGAAATACATTTCATATATACATATAATTGTATTTAACTACAAAAATAGCAATTTTTTTTTTTTTTTACTTCAAAAAAATTAGTTTTTGATTACTAAATCTGTTTACACATATCTTCATACTCATGACAAATTAGGGAAAAAATAAATGTAAAAGTAAGTACTTGATTAAATATAATAATTATTTAATAACAATTTTACAGTAGCATTTCCTTGAATACAAAGGAAATTAGTTGCTCCAAATTTAATTTGTCTAGTATTAGAATTATATTGTTGTGAGTCGAAGAGGGTATCTTAGCCTCTTGCAATTAATACTTTATGCAATTGAAAATATTTACCCCATTTGGAACAACTGTTATGGTATAACTCTTTTGCTCTAGGATTTCTATCCTTTAGATGTTGTACAATGAGAACCGTTCTCTTTATGTAAATGTGACTGACTGCATTATAGTTAATGTTATACTAATTTAAATTCAGATTACACAACTTCTTAATATACATCGTTGCTATAGTGCATTGAAGAGCAAGAAAACGAAACATTAACTTCAGTCTTATAAATAAGAAAGAAGGCAAAATGCATATGGATAAGAATATGAAAAAAGTAATCAGTGTAAAATAAACATCTTATTGTTACTTGTTTAATGTCGTAATTTCTTACCTTGGTATTGGCATCTTTTGCATGTTTTAGCTCAGAGACTGTTTTTGTATATTTTATCTTTTAAATTCTTAGAAAATATAGTTATTTTTATTCATTTTAAAAGTTTTTTATTGCTTAACAAATTTTTGGAAGGAATTTATAAATTAATTAAATCACTCCACGTTCTGGAATTTAGTTTTTTATGTGAAATGCAGAAAAGTAAATTTATCATTGGCTGCATTCAGCAAATTAAACAGTTATAACTGAGCAAATCTGTAGCTGTTAGTAGCAACCTGGATCTGCTGAATGATGAGAGACGTTGCATTGGAACAAAAAACCTCATTGGTAGCAATGGGTAGCATAAATGAAAGATGCTACCAAATGTGTTCCAAAAGAGCGCTACTGTAGAGGACATTCAGCAGAAAAATACTCAACAGCTCCGGAACTGTTGAGTCTGCTGAATGCAGCCACTACTGTGTGCATAAATGCTTAATATGCTTTCAAAATCAATCAAAATTAAATAAGAATGATATAAAAAGGACAATCAAGTAAGAATTTTTAGCCTACTATTATTTAATAATTTCAATAAATATGATAGAAAGATATTTTTGATTGTGTAAAACTGAGACTGTATATAAAAAATGCCATGTAAAAAACCTGCTATAAAAAGTATCATGTAAAGAATGAATCTACAGATAAAATGGTTATTTGATAATATGCAGAAGTTTAATCAAACAGGAATTTATACAATTCATTATTTAATGAATAAATGATGAGATCTTCATAAACACATTCTTGAAATAAAAGACCAATTATTGAAATTTGTCTATTTAGTTCTATAATATCAATACTTTACAAATACTGTGTAGTAAATTTATTGTCCATTTTTAATCTTATGATTTTTTTCATAAATCTCTTGTCATCTTCATAAGCATATCAAATATGAAACTTTTAGATAATTTATTTGCATTATAGAATTATCACGATGAGTGAATTTCATAATTACATTCATATATATCAGTTATAATCATGTTTATCTATACGTAAACATACAAAAAAAATGATAAATTCATTACATAAAGATGTTAATTTATCATTTACTTATATTTTTATGAACTGAAATGTTTTCAACTGGTTTAAAATGATGTAGCTTTGTTTAATAATTTTTTTTTACTTTCAATAGGTAGGAGTTGAAGTAGAAACAGATTTCAGGCTTGGAGATAGTGTTGCCACCATTGGCTATATGCTTGATCTGCCAAAAGCAGATTTAGTTTTTCGGGGTAAGCTACAATAATTATTTATTAATTATGAAAACTTGCATATAAGATACTATTTAAAAAATAAGAAAATTATTCTCAAACTTTATTATGTACAGACTAAATATTCAATATTTGTGACTTTTTATTAAACAATTAGAAATTTATGTTTACATTATGAAAGTTTTTAGTTTGTTTTTTAGTTATTATCTTTTGTAAAAATGTCTTTAATAGAGTTGAAAGATATAAAAAATAAAGTATCAAGCCATTATAGTATGTTTATGGAAAGAATCAACTGGGTATTAACCAATGCTCATCAGCCATTGATCACTTAGTTGTGGCAAGTTACTTCCGGTTTCTTCCTCGTTTGTTAAACATGTCACTGTCATTATAAACAGTGCTAGAGGAAGCTTTACATTCTGGCATTGGAATATGAAGAAGTTCACTATAGAAATTGTTAAATGCATACGACAAACAACTTCCAACAACTTAACACTGCAGCACACCATTGCCTTATCGACTTATGTTACCGACCCTGATGTAAGGGCAGACTTCCAGAACATCAGACTAATCAGACAAGCGTTCCAAACTGATCACATCCAACACCTGGAGGCCTGGGAGATTCATAAAGCTAATAGTGGGGGCACCTGCATCAACTTCAAAGATGGTGAAACGATCGCACAGGCATGGAGGTATTTGTTCGAGGAATTCAAACAGGAACAGTTGGAGGGGTGAAACCCGACACGCACAATTATTTACATCTCTGGCAACATCGTTACGACAGTCAGGAGGAAACACAGTCAGTCACCACCTGAAGCAGACCTCGGTGGAGATCGAAAGCATTTGTGGAGTGTACTATGGACATAACACTTGTAAAAAAAGGTTTTCGTGGATTGTTATGTTAAATGCATAATTCTTTACAGTTAATATAGGCTATAAAAAATTAACAAAATTAATCAAAAACTTGTTCTACCATCTAGTGAGAGAAAAAAAAAACAAAATTTATGCATTGTGTGACATATTAAGCAAAAAGTGCTGACATCATTAGGGAATGTGCTGATTAGTTTAACTGAAGCAAGTTGATTTTTTCCATAGACAGACTTTAGTCAAGCACTTTCAAGTATTTGGAAAATTTATCATCATAAGATAACATCTATAATGAAAGAGTATTGAGGCTAAACATAATCAAATTGTTAGCAAGATTACAAGGAGATACAATAAAAATAATGCGTGATATAGAATATGATATAAAATGTAATGTTTTCTAATATTAATTTAAATTTAAACAGGAAAAATATAAATTTAAATATGTTTAAATTGTACAGATATGTAAAGTTGTAATTTGTATAATGTATTATCTTAGTCTAATATCGTTCAATAGTTTTGTTAGATTTAGGGTCTACATCACTGCATTCCATTATAAGTATCTTACAGGTTGTGATTTTTTTCAATACTTGTCAGTAATGTAGAGTTGCTTGATATTTTGTATTTTATATCTAAATTCTATTAAAGAGCATTTTTGTTGGAATTAAAATTTTTAAGTTTTCTAATACATAGTAAAATTACTTAACAATACTGTTAATTTTATTAATTTTTTTTTATAGGTATGGTCGATAGTAATGGAACAGTGGGTGGTGTGCTTGAAAAGAAATTACAACCATTACCATTTACATTTACACTCAGTGGCATGATCAGTCATAGTAAAAAGCAGAGCCGGTTTGGTTGTGGCTTGATCATTGGATAAGTACTCTGATATAAAACAATTTTAAAATGCATCATTGTAATAAGAAAATCATTGAATGTCAGCTGCATTTGATTTTTCTTTTAATCAATAACTTGTCTGCACATAGAAGCAAATCTGTACATTTTATAACATACTCAGAATCAAACATAATTTCATTGCAAATATTTTCTGTAAAATTGAAAATAGTGTGCTTTCTAATATTGCTATTTCAAAAAAAAAAATAGTCTTTAATTATTCAAAATTTAGAAATAAAAGAATAATTTTTAATATATTTCATAGCTTTTTTTTTTAAGTATAGTTAATCTTGTTTATTGAGAAACAAGAAGTTATAGATATAGTACATGTGTATAGATTAAAATGAAATAATCAAAATTAAATCATATGTTTCCTGAATATTAATGTTTTATTTTTTGATCAGTCTTATCACATTAATTAATTTTAAACAATTAGTTTTTAATTGATAAGATATAAAATCCAAATTGCAATAATTTTTCATGTGTAGAATACAAATATAATGTATATAGTTCTACAAATTGAGAGAGAAAGATTGTCTTTAATTTAGATAAATAAATTCTAGTAAATTATTTTGATTTTCAGTGTGATTTAGATTATTTAGTTATGTAAAAAATGAATAATGCTTCATTTTCTAGTAGTCTGTTTCAAATGATGCATCACATCAAATTTCAAATTTTTATTGGCAGATAATTTAGTTAACTATCATGTATGTGACCATATTTGACTGTGATAAAATCAATAGAATATATACTGATATATTATTAGATAGAATATATATTGATATTATATATACTATATACTGATATATTATTAGATATACTATAGAATACTTAATTGAAAGAAATTTTAAATAAATTGATAAAAGTTTTATTCAATATTTCTATTTTCTTACAACTAATTCTCCTAAAAATTCATTAAAAATGCATTAGTTAAAGAGTTAATTTTAAAATTATTGGGTATTTTTGTTGTTTATAATTAACTTATTTAATAGGAAAGTCAATATACTGTATATAATTTTACATTTTAACAAGCAAGTGAAGAAATTATATTCACATTTTTACCAATAAACAAAATTTTCTTTTATTTAACTGCTACATTTTCAGTAGAATATTGCTACTAAAAAAATTCTATATTATTCTATGAAGTTTTTATATATTAACAATATGGGATAGTAATAAAGTAGCATAAGTTAGCAAATTTATAGTTTTTTGATATTGAAAGGTTCCTGTAATCTTCCGATATCAAAAATCTGACTATTATAAAAGATCAGCTGAAGCTAAAATATCATAACAAAATGGATACGATTCTAGGTGGTCAACTATGGCTTCAAAAATATCTCTTGGCTGTTAAAAACAAAATGTTATTCATCAAAAATATCATACAATATATTATTGAAAATATTGTACTAAATATTTATCATCACCACTTAAATTTCATAAAACTTTTGATTAATATTTTTAATGGAATTGCCAAAGTTAGATTAAGTATTCAGGAGCTGTATTCTGGTCACTTGTTTCTGGACTCTTCTTTCAGAGATGAATGATGTCAATACAAAACGAAAGTAGTCTCCCGGAGGCAGGTGATTTAAGCCACTTGTAACTATCTGATAATTGCTGTCGATGTCAAAAGTCTATAGATTGATTATGCACGTTTGGTTATCTGCACACACAACACAGACAGAATTTTAACCAATAAAATTGCGAAATTTTCAAAAATGTAGAGTATTTAATTATAGAGCATATAGTTTTGACAGTCTTGTTTTTGTTTTATAAAGTTTTTACAGATTATATTACCAAAATGTTTTGAGTAATGTTGTTTTCTCAACAATGGAAATTTTAATAATGGAGTTAGAAAAGAGTGTATTTAGTTACGGGAAAATTAGGTATTTTGAAAAATACTTTGAGAAACAGATGACTGGAATTAACAGCTCAGCTCAGTTATAGATGTAGAATCATTTTTTAAAATGTAGTTAGTGGTGCTCTTGAATGAAATGTAAAGTGGATACTTTAGAAAAACAATCAAAAGCATTGTCTCTATCTCAAAATACTCTTTCTCAAGATGGAGAACATTCTCCAATATGATTGTATAGTGCAAGTAGCATCCAGTCATCCATATCAAATTATCGAAATTTAGACTACAGACAGAAGACAACTATCCATTTCAAAGAGAATCTTTGAAAGAGAAAGTCATCCAGAATTGCATTTGGAGACAAGTGATCTTTCAAGGTGTATACAAATGTTTAGACAATCAGAGACAAGCTTGTGACACTATTTCAAAAACGAGGTGATGATCAGAAAACTGCCTGTATACTCATTTCAGAAACACGGTTCTTTCAAAAGGAATACTATATTTTCTCCATAATTATGTTCTTTGAAATAAATTGTTCTTTCTGTCCTTTGTACAAAAAGAATACATTTTCTACTACTAACTTGTCTTTTTGTTGTTTTTTTAGTTACCATTATCATCATCATTTATAGCTTAAAACAAGTTAGTTTTAACATTGTAACAATGAAATCTGCATGAAATCCAATGCAAATCTGTTTTGATTGATGCCAACATTCCATAACATAAGCATTCTTGTGAGATAAAATGCAAAATTTAAAAAGTTTTAACTAAACAACATCCCCTAAAACACAAAATAAATTGTCTTTGATCTGAAGTGAATAAAAATTATTCCATTTTAATTTAAAATATATTCTAACTTTACTTAACGTTGAAAATATTAAAAATGAAATTATTATTATTATTACTATTATTTGACTTTACAGATTAGGCAGATGGAATGATAGGGTGGCCCCATCAAATTTTATACAGTCGACCCCCCTCCCTTATAACTGTTGATTATTCCGTTTTATATGCATTCCGGTTAATGTTCAGGGTCGTAGACCATCATGGCGGCTCTTCCTGTTTTAGCCTCGAAACCGGACCGCTTTGGAGACGACGTGTCACGTGACGACGCGAGCGAACGGCGGCGGCTGCTGCGCCGCGATAAACGGGGAAAACCGACGCGCGGGTTAACGTCCATATACGTAGACTCATGGCGGCTCATCTCTGATTCCGCAAAAAGAAAAGGAAACAGTGGGGACGCACGTTCTAACCTAACCTAACCTATTCTAATAAATTATCATAATTATTACCAATTATATTATTAGAATAGGTTAGGTTAGGTTAGAACGTGCGTCCCCACTGTTTCCTTTTCTTTTTGCGGAATCAGAGATGAGCCGCCATGAGTCTACGTATATGGACGTTAACCCGCGCGTCGGTTTTCCCCGTTTACCGCGGCGCAGCAGCCGCCGCCGTTCGCTCGCGTCGTCACGTGACACGTCGTCTCCAAAGCGGTCCGGTTTCGAGGCTAAAATAGGAAGAGCCGCCATGATGGTCTACGACCCTGGACATTAACCTGCATTCCATGTTATACGAGTCACCTAGATTTTACAAATACGTGAGCCGTTCACAGCCCAGCACACGTATTTCTAAAATCTAAGTGACTCGTACAACATGGAATTTCTCGATTTTGAAGGTCCTCTGAGTTCAAAAATGTCAACAAGTAAAATCTCGCAAATTTATTACAGTTGTATAGAAAAACTTACGTTAAAATTAAGGAATTAATTATGTTGTAATATTCCATTCTGTGATTTCTATTGTATATAAAATGTGCTTTAAGTGCAAAATAATAAGTCAATAAAATTAAAATAAAAAAACGAAATTTTTATATTTGGATACCCCTAAAAATGTGGAAGCCCGGGGCAACTGTCCTGACATCCCTGGCCAAAAGTAGCTCCTGATTTTTAGTACAATTACGGGAGTTGATCGAAGATACACGTTACGTAATTTTAGGTGTGATCAGCGTTGCCAGATTGGGCTACTTATTTTTCAGTTTGGCGTTAAAAAAGCATTTGGCGCACTGGCTACTTTTTGGGCTACAAAAATTTGACTTGGGAAGAGGGTATCTTAGCCTCTTGCAATTAATACTTTATGCAATTGAAAATATTTACCCCATTTGGAACAACTGTTATGGTATAACTCTTTTGCTCTAGGATTTCTATCCTTTAGATGTTGTACAATGAGAACCGTTCTCTTTATGTAAATGTGACTGACTGCATTATAGTTAATGTTATACTAATTTAAATTCAGATTACACAACTTCTTAATATACATCGTTGCTATAGTGCATTGAAGAGCAAGAAAACGAAACATTAACTTCAGTCTTATAAATAAGAAAGAAGGCAAAATGCATATGGATAAGAATATGAAAAAAGTAATCAGTGTAAAATAAACATCTTATTGTTACTTGTTTAATGTCGTAATTTCTTACCTTGGTATTGGCATCTTTTGCATGTTTTAGCTCAGAGACTGTTTTTGTATATTTTATCTTTTAAATTCTTAGAAAATATAGTTATTTTTATTCATTTTAAAAGTTTTTTATTGCTTAACAAATTTTTGGAAGGAATTTATAAATTAATTAAATCACTCCACGTTCTGGAATTTAGTTTTTTATGTGAAATGCAGAAAAGTAAATTTATCATTGGCTGCATTCAGCAAATTAAACAGTTATAACTGAGCAAATCTGTAGCTGTTAGTAGCAACCTGGATCTGCTGAATGATGAGAGACGTTGCATTGGAACAAAAAACCTCATTGGTAGCAATGGGTAGCATAAATGAAAGATGCTACCAAATGTGTTCCAAAAGAGCGCTACTGTAGAGGACATTCAGCAGAAAAATACTCAACAGCTCCGGAACTGTTGAGTCTGCTGAATGCAGCCACTACTGTGTGCATAAATGCTTAATATGCTTTCAAAATCAATCAAAATTAAATAAGAATGATATAAAAAGGACAATCAAGTAAGAATTTTTAGCCTACTATTATTTAATAATTTCAATAAATATGATAGAAAGATATTTTTGATTGTGTAAAACTGAGACTGTATATAAAAAATGCCATGTAAAAAACCTGCTATAAAAAGTATCATGTAAAGAATGAATCTACAGATAAAATGGTTATTTGATAATATGCAGAAGTTTAATCAAACAGGAATTTATACAATTCATTATTTAATGAATAAATGATGAGATCTTCATAAACACATTCTTGAAATAAAAGACCAATTATTGAAATTTGTCTATTTAGTTCTATAATATCAATACTTTACAAATACTGTGTAGTAAATTTATTGTCCATTTTTAATCTTATGATTTTTTTCATAAA